GGATGAGATGGTTAGACAGTGTTATCAAGGCAACGAACATGAAATTAAGCAGACTCCAGAGCACAACAAAAGACAGGAGAGCCTGGCGTGATGTGGTCCATGGGGTTGCGAAGAGTTGGACTCGACTATGCGACTGAACAACAACAACATGGAGCAGAGGTCCATCAGTGGCTATTAGCCACAAGGTATGGATAGGGACTCTGGGGCAGGTGATGGTTAGAACGGATAAAAGGAAGTACTTCTTCACCCAAAGAGTGATTAACACATGGAATTCACTGCCACAGGAGGTGGTGGCGGCTACAAGCATGGACGGCTTCAAAAGGGAATTAGATAAGCATATGGAGCAGAGGTCCATCAGTGGCTATTAGCCACAAGGTATAGATTGGAGGCTCTGGGGTAAGTGATGCTCTGTCTTCTTGGTGCTTGGGGGGTCAACAGTGGGAGTCTAGTGTCCTGGCCCCACTGGTGGACCTCCTGATGGCATCTGGTATTTTTGGCCACTGTGTGACACAGAGTGTTGGACTGGATGGGCCTTTGGCCTGATCCAACATTGGCTTCTCTTATGTTCCCCCTTTGATCTCTGATGTTCATTCCCACCATTTCAGAAAAGGCACAGGCAGGCAGCTATGCTTTTGAAGCCTTGACCTAGTGGGTAGTGGTGTGGTGCTACTGATAATTTTCAAGGGACTATTACCATAGCAGCTTCTTCACTGGTGACTGAAGTCTAGTCACAGTTGCCCAAAGGCAGGAAAAAGGGTGAGTTTGGGGCTGTGACTATGCAAGTGTCATGAAGGCTTACTAGACAGTACTGGTGGTGGTGATGGCTTAAGTGATAAATGATATCCTCAGTCTGCACCATTGGGTTGTCTTTTTAAATTTTCATACATTTTATGGCATTCATACCAGGGATATTTATCCAATCCTTTAAAAGAAACCTACTCTCTTCCACACTCCCTCCACAATGCCTTGCAATTTTGGGAAATTAATAGGAGTTTGATCTTGGAAACAAGTTTTTTAGTTCGAAGCAATGCCATTTTTTTAAAAAAAGTAAAGACTAAAATCATTGTAGTGTGTGTGATCCTGCTAGAGTGCAACAAACTATCCTTACACAGAGTGCAGTGAACTAAAAATCTTCGGAGAAATAGACTCCCTTACAAATTGGTCTGGGTGGAAATGTGAGGCATGAAAGACAACTTAATATTGGGGACGTACTATCACCCCTGTAGCCAAAACTCTGATCTTGAAATGAAAGAAGAAATGAGGAGGGAAACCAGAGGAGAAAGAAAGTAATAACAAATTACTTCTACTAGCCTTACATTGTGTTCAGGTTGAGAGAAAGATAGCAGAAGTTCTAAATACTACAAATGATTATGCTTTGGAATATTTGGTCAGGCAAAAGGAAGCAAAAAAATTTAAGGAAAAGGACAATTCAGTAGTTATACTATGTATTATTAGCATGCAATTTCTCAGTTGCACACATTTTATATCTGCACAGCTTCTATGAGACATTTTTATGAGGAAAAGAGAGAGACTCACCAGTTTTGGGATATCCTGCCAAGACTATATCATCCATCCTGGCTTCAAAGGATTCAAGAGCTTGGAAAGTGTCTGGGTTACAAACTGCAGCAGGATACGACACTCCCCTATAGGAAAAGATCAGATCTTCTGGGGGTATCCCGGCACTCTCAACTAATGCCTTATTCAGAAACTCAACAGCAAGTTTCCTGTTCTTAGGCATTTTTGTGTCTCTTTTTGTGCAGGCTGATATTAAGCTATGACATTCCTGAATCAGCTAATATTTATATACAGGTCACTAAGAATGTAAATGTAAATGTAAACATTGTGGCTTCTATGTGTGCACAGAGAGGTGCGGAGGAAGAAAAGTTACTATTTAACTGAAAGAGCTGTTGGAAAGTAACTCTAGCCTTTGCTTTCCTCACTGCAGATTCGCTGTGAACTGGCATTTGCTTACATCTGGACTGCTGGACTGTTTCTCTTGGAAGAAACAGTATTGTGAAATTCTGAAGCAGATGTTATTTTTTTCCCTAGGAAGTTAAACTTGTCTGGAGTCAGAAAAAAGATGAGGACAAAGAGACTTCTTATTAATTGTGGCAAAAGTTAGTGAAACCTATTGATGGCTGAGGAGAAACAATGGGTTATGTGGAGTCATTGGGAGGGATCCACAGTTGCCAGCCCATTTTCAGTGGCAGGATAAAAAAATTGCCATTGGGCAAACAGTGTGATGTCACTTCTGGGAAACACTCATCAGTCCTCTCTTTTCATCACCAGATATGCTAGAGTTGACCATAGTGATTCCTAGAGAGATGTGATGTCACATCGGGGTTTTTCTGGAAGTGGCAGCATGCCATTGCCAACAGCTGCCCTCCATGTCCCCACCTTCCCAGTCTCCCACTGGTTGTCAGACCCTAGAATGAACATGTACGGTTGCCAGCTTTGGCTTGGTAAATTCCTGACGCTCTGGGGTGTGCCTAGAGAGGGCTGGTGACAGCATGCACATTTGATATCAGAGTATCTATTTATTTCATTGTTTGTCTTCCCCCAATGGTCTGATAGGAGCTGCGGTGGCTCAAGTGGTTAAGACGCTGAACTGCAGGCTGTGGAAGGTCAGTAGTTCAGCAGTTCGAGACCCAAGTTGCCACATGATGGAGTGAGCTCCCGTCTCTAGTTCCAGCTCCTGCCAACCTAGCAGTTCGAAAGCAAGAAATTTCAAGTAGATAAATAGGTACCACTTCAGTGGGAAGGTAACAGCATTCCGTGTGCCTTGGTGTTTAGTCATGCCGGCCACATGACCACGGAAACGTCTTTGGAAAGCGCTGGCTCTTCGGCTTGGAAACAGAGATGAGCACCGCAACCCTAGAGTCGGATTCGACTGGCTTTTGAGCAAGGGAAACCTTTACCTTTACTAACGGTCTGATAAAAGGATTCTGAACACATGCCATATGTTCTTCCTCTTCCCCAGATTTACATAGGTTCATGAATTCTGTCACAGCTGTCCTTGAAAGAGCAGTTCTTGAAAGAGCTCTCTCAGCCCCACCTTCTGTTGATTCTGTTGTGGGGAGAGGAAGGGAAAGGAGTTTGTAAGCCATTCTGAGCCTCCGAGTGAAGGGTGGGGTATAAATCCAATCTCCTCCTCCTCCTCCTCCTTGCTGTCTTGTTATACTAGAAGAGGCTTTGATGGGAAAGATAAGATAGAAGTATTTTAATAATAATTAAATTGCACGTTTATACTTAGAATATCCATAAAATTTAGGCAGGGTAAGTTTCCCCCATGCCGACATCCTGACCTGAAAAAGCCCCAGAGGTGGCGCTACTTGCTTAATTGAGAAAACTATGAGTACTGATGAGCTGCAAGTAAGTTTCTCCAAACAGTAGCTGCCCAGAGCTGTTTCAGATTGGAAAAATGGTAAAGGGGGAAGCTTAACCACCCACTCCCTCCATGTTGATTCCCAATATGACAGAGACCAAACTCACAACACATCTGATCATGTTGATATAGGGAGAATGTAAGGACATGTACATAAGACCTCAGTCACACTCAAAATTCAGTGAAGTAACTGGATTTTCAGTAATTTAAGGACAAACTTTTAATTTGAGAAACTGTGAGAATATTCCTTCCAAGTCACTTCTCGTTCTTTCAGAGCCTGTTCCTTTGGATATTTGGGTTTTCTTTAACTGAATCAACATCACCATTTTGAGCATCGCATTACCATATCTTTGGCAGTTTCTTTGCTTAAATTGTAGTTGCTGTAATCAGTGAACACTATTCAGCCTAGACTGCAATCTGAACCACCTGTCCTTGGGATTAAGTATAGTTTTCTACCTATAGATTTGGTTAGCTAACTGGGTGTGGTGTGGGTAAAAGGTACATGGAAAGGGGCCTCAGTTATTCATTAAAAGGAAAGTTTATGGCACAGGAACGAATCTGGACAAAGGTTGCAATTTTAATTATACAGGCAGTTCGCCCCTAGTTTGCTTTGAGAACAACTGTTGGGTGTGTCTTTCCTGTAGTGATAAAAAAGAGGTAAAGGTTTCCCTTGCTCAAAAGCCATCAAATAGGCACCAAAGTATGGTGGGACATGTTCAGTGACTAGATATTTGCAAAAAAGGAGAAACCTGAAGTACCTATTTTGTGGCTCTTTAAGCGTTGCACCAATTCAGGAGGCTGAAGTTGGCTCCTTATTCCCAGTTGCTTAGTCATTCCTTATTTGTGACTTATTCATAAACTAGTAAGCAAAGGCCGTCGTGGCGGTAGACAACGGGCCCTAGATAGGAAGGAAGGGTGGGTGGAAGGGAGGAATGGAGAAGAGGAGGTAGAGAGAGAGAGACAGAGTTAGAGGGGAGAGAGAGAGAAAAGGGGGGAGACAGAGACAGAGTGGGGGTAATGTTAGTAATTTGGAAAGAAAGAAAGGAAGGGAGGTAGGAAGGAAGGGAGAAAGAATGAAAGGAAGGAAGGAAGAAGGGTAGAGAGAGATTGAGAGAGAGAGTGAATGGGATGAAGGATAGTAGGGAGGGAAGAAGGGCAGAGAAAGAAAGAGAGGGGGGAAACAGAGTGAGTGAGAGAGAGAATGTTGGGAGGAGAGAGAGAGAAAAAGGAGGGGGGAGTGGACCGGTGGAGCGGACCGGTGGAGGGGACCCGGGCTG